CACACGCACACGCACACAAACACAAGAAGCGTAAATCCGACTGTGCAACCTCCACGTGGTACGCTTCGGATAACGCTAATGCCAGCAGTGTGATCACATATATGCTGCGATATAAGATTAAATTCAAATCAACAAATGTCGTCTTGCCCAAAATCGTAACTTTGAACACGAAGGACATTAGTTTTAAAATGTCGCAACTGTTTTGTATGAGTCTCGTTAAAATCAGTAGACCCCCTAAAGTGTAAAATTACGTTAATATCATAGGGTTTCTCTCTCTTTTTGATCAGAATAGATCGAGTTGAATAGAAACAGGTAATTGTCTCAGTTTTCAACTTCACCTTTCACTTAAGTTTTTACATAAAAAGCTTATCTGTATCTAAAAATTGATAAAAGCATCTTAAAGAGAAAACTTTGAACTTTTTTATGCTTGTTTAAAAAATGCTGTACGTCACTCCGTTCGTCTTTTATGAGCAGTCAAAGTCAAAGGGACCATTTTTACTTCAATGTTGAATAACTCGGTAAAAAAAATCGTACAGAGGTAAATAAAAAAGTAAATTGAAGATAAAGGATCACGCTTTCGAAAGCTGTGAATTGTATTTGTGCCCAACTTCTCATTCGCGGCATGAAACTGTGCAAAGTTTACAAAAAATTTTGAGATTTTACGGATCTTCCTTTATAATCATGTAGTTCCGTAAAAATCAGCCGAATCGTTATTTTATTATACAGATTTGGAAAGTAGAGATTTCAAACTACAAAATGCTTTTTTTTAAATCTCATTTTGACCATTTTTTTGTAGAAGTTACACTTCTTTAGTTTATCCATTTTTCGAAGGTGTGAGAGGTGATGCTTTAATTTATGCGCGTAGTGTATAATTATTTCCTCATAGTGATTGAACACTTTCTCCAATCGTATTCTTTTTTTCATATTCTCTCGAAATACATGTGTAGAAAACGAAAAATTGAAATGTGGTTTGAAGATAAGAAAAAATAAAACATGGTTTAAAAATAATAGAATATCATTTATTGTACTTATTCATTATTTGGTATAAAATTTATATGGAATAATTTATATATTCAATAAAAAATGAAAACTTTCTCTTAACATCACGATAAAGGGATGAAAAAAGACCAAAATTGATGGTGTTCACTCAATTTATGGCTTATATGAGGATATACAAATTTTCCAATTTTCATTGAAAAATAACAATTAACTATAATTTTAAATGATTTCCTCAGGACATAATTCTTTTTCTACGAGATTCTACATTCCAAATACTAAATAAAAAACACTACATAAGCTGAATACTAAATAAAAAACACTACCTAAGCTAAATATACTAAATAAAAGCTCTATAAATTGAAGGCAGTCCAAAGAATAGTGTTACTGTTAAAGAATCGGAAAAGGATACTTCTTGTTTTCCTCTTTTTTTCTTTTCTATCGAACTGTCGGAAGTGCACTTACCATTCCGGAATATTCTCAGACTGTCACTATGCATGGCATTACTACTGTAAACCATGGAGGCATCCAGATAACTGGTCACTTGGGACAATTGCTCTCTCGAGCCAAATTCACAGCCCTCCTTAGGAGCTGGTCCGCTTCTGAGAAATTCCAAACATCTTACACCCAAAGGACCATAGAAATTGTCGCGCAAATTCACTGCTATCGGAAGACACTCTGGATGCTATTGACATATATATATTAGAAGTAGGGTAACCAAACCTTATGTGGCCTAATGCTCAATACGATCTACTCGCTGTTTATAAGTAATTACAGTGAATCCAAGATAGTACTAATAAATCGTGCAAGCTGTCTGTCTGACTCGATTGCATCAATTATTGCTTAGTTTATTCATTGTGTTATTGTTAGTAAAACGAAATGCATACAGAACATAATGGCCATCATGCCCGGCAACTTATACAGGGTGTCTCAAAAAAACGGATCGAAACACAATGGGGACGTAGATTGGATCAAGGGGAACAAAACAGTTTTGTATCATTTTGCAGTTGACACAACATTTAACGAGATATTAACGTTTAAAGATAGGCGAATACAAGCGTCCGACCAGCCTATTGCTCATGTACTGCTGCCGGCAGGACGGCCTACCATCCCCACCGATCGCATGACGCGCCGGCCGGGCGGCGCGGGCGGGCCGCGAGGTGCGGGGATGGCCTAGCAAGCGAGCCACTCATTGTCAGAACGGCGCGCATGGGGAGGAGAAGGATAGCGCTTGAGCAGTAGGCTGGTCGGACGCTTGTATTCGCCTATCTTTAAACGTTAATATCTCGTTAAATATTGCGTCAACTGCAAAATGGTACAAAACTGTTTTGTTCCCCTTGATCCAATTTACGTCCCCATTGTGTTTCGATCCGTTTTTTTTAGACACCTTGTATATGGAGTGTGTGGAGAGCTTCACATTCGGAATTTGGTAAATTTTTTCCAAAATGATTTAGTATAGCGTTTCACTGGCCGAACTGGTGCGCACTCGATCAGTGAGCAACAAGATGCAGGAATTCGGCACGAGCACCAATAATAGGCGGTGTCGGTTTCGGAACTGATGCCCTCTCTTTTTATGTCCGTGTGGCTCGTGACCAAATTCCCCCTCTTCTCTAATGCCGCTGTTATCTGCTGTTATTGACCTGAGATTGGGGTTCTTTTAAGCCCCCCAACGTGCTATCCCTCTTTGTCAGCAATGGACAAGTTTATGGTAAGAAAGAGAAAGAAAGAGCCAGCTGTTTCTATGGCTATAGCAAATTCGGAGCCAAGCTGTTCAGACAGTGTGACAGTCGGCAGTTCAAATTCGAAGTCGATTTTAGAAATCAAAGCAACAAGTTGCAGCGACTCTCAACAAAAACTAGACAAAGAAAATTTTGCATCTAAAGACACATTAAACAAAGGTATATTCGTTTCGAGTAAAATGCAATTTATTGTATAAATATTAAAAAAAAATTTAAAAATTTAAACAGCTATGTATATTGTTTATTAGGTAAAAAGAAACCATTATCTTTTGCAAGATGGCAAGAGCTACATAAATGGCTAGATATTAATTCAGCTGGCAAAGTAATCTGTAAAGTATGCTCAGAAGCAGTGAGCAAAAATATATCATCAAGTTTAAATAGCCATGCTGTACGCTCAGTTGAATCATTTGTCACTAATGGCTTTGATTGTTGGTAAAATGCGCCACATCGTTTTAAGAAGCATGAAACAAGCGAGTTTCATAAAAAGTCATTCTTAGGATTGCAAAACTTACGAGATAAGTCTATTGTTGAGCATATTTCTCATGCAAAAACTAAAGAAATGGCTGATTCTCGGGTTGCGTTGCTAAAGATATTTAACACTGTGAGTGTTTTAGCACAACAAAATATAGCCTTCCGAGGAAGCAATAATGACGAATATTCAAATCTTCTCAAAATTTTGAAAATGAGAGCTGAGGAAATCCCAGAATTGAAGTGGTGGTTAAATAAGCCAACAGGTTATAAGTGGCTGCATCACGATTACGTGAATGAAATGTTGAAGATAATGGCACATGAAGTCATAAACATACATATATAGTAAGAGAAATAAAATCCGCGGAATATTATTCTATCATCGTGGATGAAACAATGGATGTATCGAGATTAGAACAAGTTTCAATTAGCTTCCGAATAACATTGCCGGATTTTACTGTAAAAGAAATATTCATGGGTTTTTATGAAACCAGTAATACAAAGTCGGAAACTCTTCTCAATATAATAAAAAATGTCCTATTACGTTATGAGCTAGATATTACTAAATTAAGAAGGCAATGTTTTGACAGCGCCGCAAACATGAGCGAAAAATATTCTGGCGTGCAAACGCTACTTCGGAAGTTGAAATCCAGAGCCCTATTTGTTCATTGTACGGCACATACATTAAATCTGGTTGCTCAAAATGCCATGAAGAACGTAGAAATGATTAACAACTTTATTGGAGTAGCCAAAGATGTGATAAACTTTATTCGCGATTCTCCAAAACGAATCGCAATATTTAAAGATTTACAGGCAACATGCGATGAAAATCTACCGGCTCTATCGCCGTTTTGTTCAACAAGGTAATACTCAAATAAGTTACATTGATAATATTTAATAAAACGAGTAAAAACAACGAGTAAATTACGCACAAAATAATAATCTAAAGTTTTGGTTATTGATTTAAAAATCTTAGCATTTTTGAATTGTAAATATCTTTACATTTTAATTAATTACATTCAACAAATCTTATTTCTTCCAAATTCTTTGTCAATAATATTGCTAGATTTTAGAAATTAATTAAATATTTAATTATCAACTAATTAACAAAATAATTATTATTTTAATATCATAATTTTCAAATTTAATGCTTTATAAGTAATTATTACTTTAATATTAATAATAATATTATTGATTATTGTAACATTTTATAGATGGTGCATGAGAGTTAAATCTTTAAAAACAATCGCTGCTAAGTATGAGCAAATTTTATTCTTTCTTGATGAAATTTCTACAAACAAAACAGACGCTGGCAGTAAAGC